TGAGCTCTCCACTGCTTGGCTCTCTTCCTACCCACTGAGAATAGAGGATAATGGGTGAATCTGGAAATGTATCTGCATTGCTCAGTCTTTCCAGATTTTTCAGTGCCGTGAATGGACATGATATTCTCCACTGATTTTTCTGTAGGTTGGGAATCTGTGGAAACTGCACTCTCTACTGCCGACAAATATTCATTTCTATTTTTAGGAAAAGAGAAGTTTTTTGTGTGGAAGTAACCTAATGCAGAATAATTTTATGTATTTATCTGTTAAAGTAAAAGTAAGGCCTTCCGTGGAAAAAATAAAGTTAGCAAGTACAGTGATTCCAGGTAGTTATGAGACTTTCCAGAACTTACATTAAAGTCCAGGGAGTTTCAACAAAGTGTAACTTCTCCCATGGAGCCTTTCCAGATAAGGAGGCATGGAAGAATGTTCAATGGAAAGAAAATCCCCCGCTTCAATGTCACTATGCTGAAACTCAAGAGTTAAACTCAAAACTCCACCCAGAGTGAAACATCAAAGCACCATGAACAGGAGATCAATCACAGGGGAAGAAAGCTTTGGAGAAATTGGTGGAACAGGTTGGGGAGAAATTTAGTTGTATGTTTGAATTTGTCCTCCATATTACGTAACTTATTTAATTATCTAGTGACTTTCATTTTCACCATTCTCCTCCCCAATATCTGTACTGCTGAAGAGTACAGTTCTCAGAGTGAAACATTAAAGCACCATGAAAATATCTGTACTGTAGAAGAAAATTGAAAATATGAAGTCTCCTTCTATACCCCTTTAGAAAACAGAAAGCTTTTTTTTTTTAATGAGAGAAGAAAATTAGTATTTCCTGTCTGCCAGCTTAGTAGGCTGTAAAAGACTCAGAAGGTGACTGAAACTGAGGAGTCCCTCAGGGGTAGATAAACAGGATTTTTTGTTAATTATTTCAGTCGTTCCTTGTGAGCTGGTAGGATACTTTTAAAATTGAGATATCTTTTTAATATTCCACCATTCAGACAAAAAATGTCTCCCATTGCAGCTTAAAAATAAGGCAGACCCTCTCCCTAGGATTCTTATTTAAAAGAGATGAGGCAAAAGGAAATGTGATACAGAGGAATGTTTGGGGCATGGAAGATTCTTACTATGAAATATCGAACAGGTTCTGTTTGGGATGTTCTTTGAAGAAAGCTTCATAGAAAATATAATAGATATGAGAAGTAATTCCACCAATGATGAAGTCACCAGGCTGGTACCAGTCATGTGGAACAGGAATAGGATCACTCACAGGGCACCTCATGGTATTAGAGGTATCATAAACTGGAGGTGTTAGAAACAGCAACATCAATCGCAGCAACATCCTGGCAACCAAGCTTCCTTCTGAATGCAGACTTTATTTTGTTCATCCATACTAGCTGCCTAAGAAAAGGCTACATTGGATGATGCATGGCTCACCCAGCCTATAATAGAGAGAATGAGCTGCATTTAATCAAAGTGTAACAAATGCATTATTTGAACACTAAGGTTACAGCATCAGGAATTGAATTGGAAGCGCCCTGCCTGCGTCCGGCCCCTACGCCATCTCTCAGTATGTGGATTTACTTATAACCACTTTCAGGCTTGCTGCTTGTTTTCTAGTTGCTTGCAGGAAGTATCTGGAGATGAAGAAATTGCTGTGATTGGGATGATTGCAGGGTAGGCTTATGAATTACTTCTTCAGAGTCTTGAGTCTGAGTGGCACTTTTCTTTCCCCTTCCTCTCAGTTTTGATCCTTAGAGGCAGAAAAAGTGAGTGAAAGGCTTTTCCTTGGTGAGCTAATGACAACAGGAAACTCAGGGTGAAGTCATTGGCTAAATAGCAGCGCTACATTTTCAGATAAAGGACACATCCCAACTCCATTTCTTTCCTAGCCAAATGGAACCAACACATCTTTATGCAGTAAAGCTGTAGTTTTAAAACAGATGTCTTGACTCACTTGCATGAACCAACAGAAGGTATTGCTGTGTTGGAGGAATGGGCAAATATTTTCAGCCTGAGGACTGAATTCCCTTGACAGTAACTTAGTCCAGAAACCATGGTTAGTGCAAAATTCTACAGCACAATTTCAGGCAGGAGTGAAATTCTGCCAGAAGATTCAGCCTGAGCTCAAAGATATGCGCTGGCTGCCAGTTTGATTCCAGGCTACGGTCAAAGTGTTATTAATCACAAAGGAAGCCCTTAACATATCAACACTAGTTTACTTAAGGAATTGCCTTCCTTCACATGTGCAAGTTCAATAACTTCCATGAGTAGAAGTGCTGCAGTGTCTGTTATGCATTTTTTAGGTAGTTGTTCCTTTAGTGCTACACAGTCTGTACTTTGGAACTCCCTACCTATTAACATTCAGTATTGCAGGCGCATGTGCAGTATACCCTGGGGCAAGTGGGGGGGGAGACACAATAGTATTCTGGAGTTGAAAATGGCCACAACTTTATTGATAACAGGTGTGGGTCGTCTTTGGCCTAGGCATTAGGTAAGTATCCTGACACAGCCTTCTGGCTGAAGGCTGATGTTGAACAGGGTCCATGCCTGGGCTAGCATCATCTCAAGATACAAGTGTACTAGGCTGCTCTCTCCCTTGCTGCCATTGGAAGTTCTATAGCCCATCCACTTCCCAGTGGGACTTCAGGACAGAATCTTCCATGCAGACTCCTTTACTTTGGTACCGTGAGATATCACACCTGCTCAAAGAAGCGATGCACCATCTCACCCTCCACCCCAACCCTGTCCCAAGCATATTGACATTACACATTCACAGTAAGTGTACTCTTTCATGTGACTGATGAAATCTTATCTGTCTTGTGGGCGTATCCAGACATATGATTTGTTTTGTACTGTTCTTGAATTTGTGTGACATACATTGTGCTGCTGGGGTAAAATCTTAAGAGTGCCTTTGATGTACCAAAAACTTTGTTCAATGATTAAAGTGCCATATTGGATTATCCCATGTCAGATTATTCTTGTCATGCCTAGGCTTCCTGACACACCACATTTAATGGTGGATGCTCTTTAATAAATAATAATAACAACAATAACAATAATTTATTATTTCTACCCCACCCATCTGGCTGGGTTTCCCCAGCTCTCTGGGGGTTGTGAAGAAGTTCAGACAGAGGGGAGGGAGAGAATGAGACATGGCCTCTCCCAGACCTCCTCAGAAGAATCAAGGAGACTAAAGCATAATCTGACTTCTTGACTGCCTTCCTGCAATGCAGAAATAGGGTAACACTGAGTGCAAGTCCTCTGCCAAGAATAAGCCTCTGAAAACAATCCAGAAGAGTGGGGAGATTCTTCCTTAATTTTGCTAATTGGATAAAACTAGGAGGCACTCTCTGGACAAGATATGCAACTGAGATTGCAAATTTAGAAAGATTTATAATAATGTGTGGGGGGGTGGGTGGGTAATAAAGAAATAAAAAAAGAAATAGCCACCACATTGAGAAGAGTGTATACTCCCTCTCCATACTATCCTACAAAGGATTTCGGGGCAGGGAAGAATCTCAATCCCTTAAATTTAGCTAACCAGTTTGAATCCCACCCCCAGCCCTCATGCTGTCTTCTCAATGACACACTCCTCCATTGCCTCCCTAGACAAACAAATGACAACAGATTAGTTCGGGTCCGACCTTCCAGAGCGGGATAGTGTGTGTAGCAAGAGTGGGGAAGTGTCAATAAAATGATGGTGATGGTGATGGTGATGATAGGTAATGGGACTCCACGTTGCTCCAAGAGAGTGAGGCAGCTTACATTGTAACTGCTACTGAAATGGATGTGGGGGCTCCATTTAGCAGGAGAAAATGCTTACACATATTACAGAAGGACAGCCCTCAGCATGCCCCCATGCAGACCTTTTACCGCCTTCTCAAAGCCAGGTAAGCAAGGTGGGTTTTAGGAAGGAGGCATGAGGCTCTGGCAGAGTCCTAGAGCCCTTCAGCACCTAGTTCTAACTAGGCGGTAGGTAGAAGTAGTTTCTCCTGCTAAGGTGGAGTCCCCATCATCCATTTTCATAGCACTTACAATGGAAATTGCCTCACTGACTTGGAGCAATGTGGCTTCCCAATACTCATCACCATCATCATTTGATTGCACTTTCTCCAAACATACTACCCTGTTCCAGAGGGTAGGGCTTGAGCCCATGGATTTTAAGAAAGAAGGTTCCAACTAAACACCAGGAAGAACTTTCTGGCAGTAAGAGCTGTTTGACAGTGGAGCAGACTCCCACGAGCGGTGCTGGACTCTACTTCATTGGAGAATTTCAAAAAAGGGTGGATGGTCATCTGTCATGGATGCTTTAGATGAGATACCTGCATTGCAGAGGGTTAGACAGGATGACCCACAGGATTCTAGGATTATTTTATTCTATAAAAAGTGGACAAAATGACTTAAGTGAAAAATAAAGGAACATATTTGAAAATCAATCACCCCCCAAATAATTTAAGAATAAAAAAGCAAAACAATAAAATAGCAAATATAAAAACATGCCAAAAGCAACCTCTGAGTACTATAAATGTAAAAAGATTGCAAAATCCACATTACTTCTCCTGGTAGCAACAAATATAACAAGAGAACCTATCTCGTGATGTCCCTCAAAGTCCTTCTCCTGCAGCAACTTCTAATAAGACTTTCAAATGCAGGGGTTGGGATTGTTTGAAAGACCTTCCCAGAGGGACCCTAGGAAGAGAAAAACTGGAAATGCTTCTTTGGCTCCTAATTGTTTCTTTGAAGTCATAGGCAATGTCAGTTGTGAGGCATGCGGGTACAGTTTGTCAGGAATGATCAGACAATGGCTTGTTGCGCTAAATTGGATCCACTGGCCAGAAGTTCCTGATCCATGAGCTAAGATGACAGAGCTTTTTTTATCTGCTTTAATTTCACATTCCTAAACATTCCAAAATCCCTCCCACAGAAAAGTATCACCCCGGAGGAAGTTTCCTTTATATACAGCAATACAATACATTAAAGAAAAAAGATACAGTTTACATCTTTCTCCTTATAAGTTGCTCCCTGTTGTTCAGCTCAGGCCTCAGCAAAATGATGTAGCATTTAGGGGCAAAGATGCAGCCCAACAATCCAGCACTGGAGGATAAGATGGAGAAGATCTCCACCACCACCATGGATTTTCCTTTGGTGCTCAGATAGGTGGGAACAAAAGAAAGCCAAACACTGCAGAACAGCAGCATGCTGAAGGTAATGAACTTGGCTTCATTGAAACTGTCTGGCAATTTGCGAGCTGCAAATGCCACAATGAAGCTGGCAGTGGCCAGGAGGCCCATGTAGCCCAGGACACAATAAAACATGGTCACGGACCCTTCATTACACTGCACAATGATTTCTTCTGCTACTGAGTCCATGTCTAGATCGGGGAATGGGGGAGAAGTCAACAACCACACAGTACAAATACTTGCTTGAGTAAGAGAACAGGAAAGGACAATGGCATAAGTCAGCCTTTTTCCTACCCACTTCCTCATGCTAGAGCCTGGCTTAGTGGCCATGAAAGCTACAACTACAGTGACAGTCTTTGCCAACACACATGAAACAGCCAAGGAGAAGAAGATGCCAAACATTGGTTGGCGAAGGAGGCAGGTCACTTTCCCAGGGTGTCCAATGAACAGGATTGATGAGAGGAAGCAGAGCAGGAGCGCAATGAGGAGAGCATAGGTGAGATCCCGATTGTTGGCTTTGACAATGGGAGTGTCTTTGTATTTAATAAAAGTTCCTATCACGAAAGTTGTGAGCAGTGAAAAAGAAAGAGCAAGGGAAGCCAAGCCGATCCCCAAAGATTCATCATAAGAAAGAAAGCTGATTGTTTTGGGGATGCATTCATTTTTGTTCTTGTTTGGATATTGATCTGCTGGGCATCTGACACAGTCATCCATATCTGAAATAGAGAATATGGTCAAATTTCAGTGGCAATTCATTCATGCTCGTTGCTTCCTGTTGATCTTAACTTTCTGATTTGTATTCGTCTGCTGGTCATGTAATATTATGTGAATTACCCTTTGAGTATTTTGCTGAATTTGCCATTTTTTTCTTTAAACTATTCAAACTGACACTCTAAGCACATGGAGGGCTTATTTCAGCAGAACTAATACAGTTGTGGGGGCAGAGTATTGGCCATCAGTAGCCTCTTTGTCTACCTCATAGCAACCCTCACAACTTTGGTGGCTAAGGCATTGAGCTGGATGCTTAATCACAGGGGTACCGCGTAAGAGGGATCCAGGAGGGGTGATGTTTTCCAGGAGTCCAGAAGGGGACCAATGTACCAATACAATTTTCCCAACGGAGGTCTTCACATCCAATCCATGTTGGAGGCATCTCCAAATAACAGTGGGCCGCCTGATGCTGTATACATGCCCAATGCCTTAGCCAAACTTACTCTTCCCTGTAATCAATAAAGTTGTGGCCTGGTTCAACCCAATGCCAGTCTCCTGTGTCATTCATTATACATCTGTACTGGCAAATGCAAAATGTAGTCATTATTTCTTTTACAAGGATCTGACACAATAATCATTAGTAGTATTGAACAAGTAAAATGTCATATACCATTCTGTTCTGAAATCTTCCCTTCTGGACACAGAGTACAATCGTAGCAGCAAAATTTCTTCCCTTCCTTCCTTTTCTTCTCATAACCAGGACGGCAGTGGTCATTGCATACAGAAATGGGCACCACCTGTCCAGAAATTGGAAATAATTTCATAAAGGAGTGATATTGCTTTAAAAATTCAGTCACCTCAAATAAGAAAGTGAACTGCTCATCCCCTCCAGAACAAACAAAAAGAAAGAAAAAAGGAAAATGAAAGCTGTTCCAAATAAAGCACAGCCATTGGAAACCAGAAAAAAGGACAAGGCACAGGACATGGATTAAGCTAGGGCCACTTTATTAGCTGTAACTTTAGGAACCAGCCCATATCCTAAAGTGCATATCTGTGAATGAAGCCAGAAGAAACTAATTGACAGCCTTGGGTTCAGATTTTGAAGCAATATTAGCTCTCTAGGAATACAGGGAATTTTGTGGTTTTGTTAGCCCTATTTAGACATAAAAAAGAAGCTATCAAAGATAAAAGTGGTTATCTGGAGCATGCATCAACTCAAAGCATTCCTAGATTTCAAACCTGGTTGAAACCTTTGTTCCATATAATCAGGTCCTCATGGATGATGAATTCTTTTCTATTGGGAGCATAGGGATCCACCCATCCAACCTTCACTCGAAGGAAGGACTTGTTTGGGAAGGTGAGCATGTTTGTGATGTCAAAACCACTTCCCATTTCTCTTTTATTAGTAAAGAACACTGTTTCTCCAGCTGAGTTGTTAAATGAAATGTCAGGAAGAAAATGGTGCAGCTAATTGAAAAGAACAATGAAGGAGAGAGAACATAATGTAGGTATTGAGCAAAATGCCATGATTTACAAAGACCTTTCTTTATGAGCATTAATTATGGAGCTTCACTTTACATAGACCAAGTATAAAAAAATCACCTGTTTTGACACAGCAGATGGGGACTTCTGGGGAAGGAAGATGGCAGACTGAATGTCTCCTTATATACCTATATATGTTATCTTAAATACTTTTCTTTTTTTAGACTTATATATGTGTATTACCTTATACACTTAACTATTATTTGCATTTTCACCATTCTCCTCTGCAATATCTGTACTGCAGAGGATTTTAAATTTAGTTTGTGTGTAGAAAACAAAAAATATGAAGTAAAAAATATGAAACAAAAAGGAAATGTGATACAGAGGAATGTTAAGGGCATGGAAGATTCTTACTATGGAACCTCGAACAGGATCTGTGCTGGTGTTCCTTGAAGAAAACTTTGTAGAAAACGTAATAAATATGAGTAACACTGCCACCAATGATGAGGTCTCGTGGCTGGTACCACTCATGTGGAACAGGAAGAGGATCATTCACACGGCACCTCATAGTAGTAGAGGTTTCTTTGTCAGCCAGTGATAATTTCCGAAAGATGTGTAAACTACTTTCTAGCTTTAAGAAGTAAATTAATCTAAGACATTTGTGTTAGGAGATTGGGAAAATATTGGCTAACATAAAGTAGATCAGGTGGATGTCATCCTTGGGTGAATATTTTGAATAATTTCTATATGTAAGAGACAGAAAACCTTTTATTATTTTGTTCTATTTTTCGTGTTCCTTTGGTGTTTTGTTTTCTTCTCTCTCTCAAGATTAGCTTATTTCATCCTATTTTATTATTAAAAAACCTTTAACAAAATCGTATCAAAGATAAAACAAAAATATTAAAGATGAAATAAAATCTTGTAAAAAAATGACCAATACTGCTGTAGCATGACTTCTGCATTTGAACTGTTATGAAATGTTAAGTTATACCCATAGTTTCAATGAAATAATCATATTTTTCTTGGTCTTCGTTTCTAGAATATTACCTGCCAAGGCTGCAGATTTTTGAAGTTTTAATTTTCCAGGGCTCCCCATTGTTCTCTGCTTTGATGTAGACAAATGAATGGCATGCAAAGTGTGAGCCACAATATAAACAGCATTGTAGATACTGTAACTATGGCCAGATATTTCCATTGCAAACAGAGACCTTGGAAGACTGTCCAAGCTCTCCTCCCCAGTACACACTTCATTGGTGTTCATTGGCGCATCAGGATTTCGAAATATACAGTCAAATGCTTGCTCCCAGAAGACTTTGAAGAAACCTCTCTGGGTCCAGGAAGGGTTTATGCTTTGAAGAAATTCCTTGAATACTAGAAGATTTTGTGAATGAATTGTGAAGGATATGGCACCTTGGAAGAGCTGAAAATCCAGAAACCTACAAATTCCTGCTAATATGAAATCAGTCTGGGCTGTCAAGATCCACACCTTTTTGAATCCTGTGTTTTCCTTATTGGTTAGGTACCGCAAAAATATAATAAGTCTCAGTGCTAAAAGTGTCAGGGATTCTCCATAGACAATATATGTAGTGACTTTATTGTCTGTCAGTGGCATATATATATTGACAGCTACATCACCCATCTCTTCCAGGTTATCAAGATGTGCTATTTGTTGGATTCTTTGTGTAAAGGCTGAACAAATTCCATTTTGAGAGAGCAATGGTTGGAATTTATTGTTGAAATATTCTCCACTGTTATCATTAGGAACAAAGAGCCCAACCATGTCCAACCAAAATGCTTAAGCAAACTGATAATCCCTGTGTACTGGTGGGCTTCATTGGGCACCATGCGATAAAAGGATGGGAATTGAGTCTCCTCTGGAGGAAAGGAACCATATGCCAGCTAAAAGAAATTGTAAAGATGTTATGCAGTAATGTTGAAATAATTATCTAACCTTCATTTAAAATAGCATTCTGATTTGCAATTTGACTAGATCGGTCTCACATGCCTAGGTAGCGATAAAGGGACACCTGACTGTTAAGTCTTGTCACGGACGACTCTTGGGTTGCAGCACTCATCTTGCTTTACTGGCCGAGGGAGCTGGCGTACAGCTTTCGGGTCATGTGGACAGCATCAGTAAACCGCTTCTGGCAAACCAGAGCAACGCACGGAAACGCTGTTTACCTTCCCGCCGGAGCGGTTCCTATTTATCTACTTGCAGTTTGATGTGCTTTCGAACTGCTAGGTTGGGAGGAGCAGGGACCAATCAATGGGAGCTCACCCCATCAAGGAGATTTGAACCGCCAACCTTCTGATTGGCAAGCCCTAGGCTCTGTGGTTTAGACCACAGGGCCACCCGCATCCCAGAAGGGGGACGCACATGCCTAGGAAATAACAAGGAAAAGGGGAAGGTGGAATAAAGATTTAGTGTTGGATCAAATTAAAACTTATTCAGTGAAGACCCATTGAAATTGATCATTAATATTAATCCGTCTGCTTTGAGTGAAATTGCAGAGTAAATATTACCTGATGGATCTACTCTGAGTAGAACAAGCCTTGTATATAACTCATAGAGGATGGAAGAATAAAAAACCCCATCAACCCTACATATAGCTTACTTGTGGAATCTTGTAGAGATCTAATATGTCTACCATATGGAAGGAAGTATCAGAGCCAAGTCCCCCAATGATGGATATGAGGGTTTTCTGTCTGCCACATTTGTAATTGGGAATGAATCTCCCCATTTTGAAGAGGAGGTCGAGTGTAGTGCGGTAGGTCATCCTTGCATCATAATAGCTGTCATGGATGTGGAAGCCAAGTGTGACATTGTGCAAGATGTTGGGATTCTCATTTATTTCTTTCACAGCAAATGCCAAAGCTAGAACATGTTGGTAGAATTTTGTCACCACACTGAAAATAAAGCAAATGATTTATGAAAAAGAATATAGTGTAATACTGAACACATTCTGTTTCAAATTGCTTCATAATGAAATGCAATTATTTTATTTTCAATTAATGCATCTAAGCTGATAAACACCACACAGTCCAGTGAATATTGAACACTGATGATCGATCAGGGCGTTATTAATAATAATGGTAATAAGCAACTCAACACCCTGCCCACAGTGAAACATTAAAGTACTGTGAAAATTAGTTAGTAATATATAATACTCAATTATAGGGGAAGAGAACTTTGGTGAAATTGGAGAACATCATTTTCAAACCTCTAGTTGTATGTTTTGCACATCTCCTAATATATGTTTTGCATATCTCCTAATATATGTTACCATATACACTTCACTATTTACATACTTATATATAAGTTACCTTAAATACTTATCTATTTATATATTATATATATGTTACCTTATATACTTAACTATTATTTTCATTTTCGCCATTCTCCTCTGCAATATCTGTACTGCAGAGGATTGTAAATTTAGTTTGTGTAAACAAAACAAAAAATATGAAGTCTCTTTCTGTACCCCATTGGAAAAAAAATAGGAAATGTGTTAGAGAGGACT